TCTTGCTGGTCCACAACAGTGGCCGTATAATAGTGTTCACGTATCCTTTGGGAACTCGTAGACTCGGGTTTCCCAAGACTCGTAGAAAAATGGCTTGCGTAACCAGCGACATGTTAGTCACACTGAAAGTCTATCAGAATTCTACGATTCTTCATGGGCACATGCTTTTCAGTATTTGAACAAGTCGAATAAAATATCCGTTCCCTTATTTATACACTTTCCTACTCGCTATATTTTATTATTTGGTTTTTTTTTTCATTATTCGTTTACTCATTTCACCTTCACTTACTTTACACCTTTTTATGCAACGTTTTTAATCAAAAGAACGGTGTTAACTCTAAGGTGTTAATGTATCTGGACGAGCTAGTCATTTCTTCCGAAGGTGTTCGGACAATCGTGCCAGTGCGCTCCTCTGATCGTTAACACAACAGGGCCTAATGTATTCGAGACTTGTTCTATGTACACTTGTACACTATGTACTGTTCTAAATAACACTCAATATCAAAACATTAAGTGCGCTTCTAGTATCCAAGTAAGTAAGTAGGTAGTAGGTAAGTATCCTAGTAAGTGGGACTTTCTATTTCAGACCTGTGATGGATATTCATCATTGTTATTCAGTAGATTGAACATGTAAATCAGAGACTTGGACGGGCCGGCTATGCAATAAAAAGAGTCAACGAGAGATGCACAAACGATGAAATGAACTCTATCAACATTTGAGCTTTCTGGATGGATACCATCTAGGTAATTCCTAGTGGGTAAAGCTGGCTTAGTCGAATATGCAGGCTGCGATGACTTCTGGATGAAGGGATATGATGTATACCTACATGACAATGAATGGAGCAGATCATCTCCAAGTATGAAGATTGTCACACAAGAAAACAAATTCTAGAAAGAACTGATCGACATCTGACTACGAATCCTTTAGATATTGGGGTAGGTGATGGTGTTGAGAGGAAAGTGAACACAAATAACTGGTGCGGGCTCAAATACAGGACAAACTCAAAGGGAGGAATTTGAGGAAGTTAGATAAAAAAATAATATACAAGATGTTTAGTTGAATGTTGAAAACATTTAATTGAGTTCTCACTTGTAAACCTTCGCTAAATTTGGCTCTCTAGAGTGGGTTTTGTGTAGCGCAATCTTTCTCTGGCCAAATGTTCAATATAGGTGATTGCCCACGAGGTACCGCTTACTGTAATACGATAAACGACCACATGTTATGTGACAACCATCTGATGTGAGCGTATCGCAGGAGATATTTCTCATACCAGTTACACATGGGGACTCCCGAGCAGCTGCCTTGAGGAAATCGATCGCCTTGTGGATCGCACCCATCTGCAGTTGTTTGTTGAGACGTAGATTCCCCACACTCGTACACACTCGCTCCCACTTAAAACGTACTTCGCTTTCCGTCCTGTGCACTAATGTCTCCGGTGTTTTCTAGACTTTTCCAATATTTAATGTACTTTTGACGTCTTAACGAATATTTCCAATGAACCATTTACTGGAATCGATCGCACCTGGGGAAGTGGGTCTTGCCGTCCCCAACAACCAACGCACACAAACTTGCCCAGTGCCGGTTCATATGATTCGGTTAACACATGGTCAATCACTCTACGCGGTAAGTTTTCAGATTCCGACCATGTCCGATTCATCTACACCATATGGATTACATCAACTGTGCGTGAATCAATATGGGTGGTTGTCGGTGGATGTGTGTAGTCGTCACTTACTCCCGTTGGGAAGGCACCCATGTGGGTCCTCCATTCGCACACATCGATTGCCCGCATACCACCCATGTTTGGGCGGCCCAACAATCTTCACCACTTCCTCTCAATAAACCTCATCCGGCACATCTGAAGTGCTCAGCCACAGTCTATGGTAATATTCACCTTTAAAAAATGTTAGTGGGTTGCCCATCTCCTTTAGAATGACCACTGTGACGATAAGTTCCTAACCGAACATCTTTTTGCAATCCAGAGGAAATAGAGAATTTCAAGAAAATGTCTTTACATTCCCATTCGGACAAAAGTTGTTCGGATATTTTACCCTCGTTAGACAAAGTTAACGACTGAGTGAACGCTGAGAAGATTAAGTAGCCAAAGAGTTTCAGATTTGTGTTGATTTACATATTTTTTCTCTTTTCCTCCTAACTTATCGCTTTCCTCTCCAAAGCATCTCATTTTCTACTTCTTCATCCATACTTCGTTCATTCGTCCCTCCTGACCTTGTTTTCTTGTTTCCCACAAAACAAATTGGATCTTCGAAAAATTTCATTCATAAGGGTTCCTGTACATTTTAAAAGGAACTTTCCAGAAGTGGAAGTTTTCTGTCTAGTTTTTGAATTCGCCGTAGTACAAAGCCTCTGTTTCTCCTATCTGGGTTGACGGCTAACTCAGAGTAACCATTTAAGTCTCTAGATTGGCTATAATCGGTATAAAAATATATCAATCCATAGTTGTACCACCAGCGTGCTAGTTAATTAGTGTAGGACTCGAGAGGGAGAGAGAGCGCCACCACCCAGTTAAGGCTTCACTCCGCCCTGTGGCGCTTGAGCGACTCTCAGAGTTCGGGCCGCACCGGCTCGGGACGCGAAGGACATTACACTTTACTTTACGTAGCAAAGCCTTTAGTTTTGCTGTCGCTGGTGATTATTTTGGTGAGGAACGTATCAGGAGCAGTATGACGAACTCGGCTACCAAAAAAATGTAGAGTTAAATTTGGACTCTGTCAAAATGGGCATAACTTTTGTTTGCTGAGCGAAATCGTACCCAGAGCGCCTTTTATGCACTTTCCAGACATTCGTTCATAGTAGAGATCTTTTCTTTTATCGAAGTGAAGTGCAAAGTCAATAGAGACTGGAGTCCATTTCATGAATCCAGCGGCGTCTCAGGGAAAGTACACGACCGTTTTTTCCTCCGTATCTGTCGCTCCGAGAGTGTGCCATGCAGCTTCGCAACTAACTAGTCTGACATCCTGCAAATGAGAGGGATACAACACTATCCATAGTGGTACTATTAATTACCTTATTCTCTCATTGCACCGTACTTTTGAAGGTCCATTAATTCGGAACCGTCGTGCTCTGTGATAGGGAAGCGCGTAGCGCAGTGGTTAGAGATGTTCTGCAATACGCACGTAGTCATTGGTTCAATCTCCTATCGTAGGGCAACGCATCTTTGTCTGATGAGAAAACACGTACGTGATACATCGGTAGTTTCGCACAAGTCGTTGCATAAACCAAAGGCGGACGGGGATTTATCATCCAGAATAACTTCCGAAGGCTAAGCGATAAATAACAGCACTGCATTTTTTTTTCTTCGGCGAACATGATACCACCTGATTAACCCATAGTACCCAGTATGGGCACTGTAGATGCAATATTCAGTTTAATGAGCTTCAGAGTCTTTTCTAAACTGCACTATGTCTGTTTATTCGGTAGCTGATCGAAAGGAAATCAAATTAGGAGCGTTGAGACCCGAAAAACCATTCCGTGCAGTTAATGTTTTACAAAAAACCTTTCTTCGGGAAAGTTCGTTGGCCGGTAGTATGGCCAACAATTAACTTTTATTTCATTCTAATCACTTGCGTTATTGTATGAAATGTGCTGATTTAAAAAAAAAACGAAATAGACTGAACGTATGGCGCAAAAACGTCCACATGCTGACAGTAATGTATTTCCATAGTGGACCATAGTATGATAAGGGTAAATGATAGACCTGTCGGCGTTGATCGTTCTCTGAGAGATGCTCTATGCATTCGATTTCATTAAGCATCGTTTGGAGGTGATTAAATGCATGCCTGGCCTACACAGTGACTCGTGATGGCATACCGATGTATCGAGCCAGTGCTGCGCCTCCCAGACAACTCTGATACCAATTTCCCAACCCCGGGGGGCGGAGGGCTTGGAGGCGCCATGGGCGCGGTGATCGATCTCGTGTGTATTGGAGGGCGCCTCCGACCACTGCTCTACACGCTCCCTTCATACCAAACTTACCATTTTTATTACAGTTGTCAGTAGCGAAAAATGGAGCAAATGGAAAGATATGCTTAAGCATGTGGTCAATTTATAGAGAGATTATCTAATTATTACCACGGTTCTCATGCTCTTTTCACTGTATTTATCTCCCCTAATCTTTTTTTATTCCCAATTTTCTGAGTTAAAATGGAAAAGCATATTCTCGTCTGGGAAGTAGGCAGCGCAATGGTAAGGATGCCGTCCATTAAGTGAACGGCCCAGCCCACCTAGGCACTGGTTCAACCCCACCAAGCCTCTCATCACTCCGCAGTCGGCAAATTGGTATCACACGTGCCTGGTATGTAAGCAGACACCCTTTAATTCATGTGGAAACGGCCTACCACGGCTTTCTTAGGATTCCAGGGTGAATCCACTCGACCAGCATTCAACGCAATCCATGAGAAAAATGGAAATCCTCAAGCAGCAGCCGGAGCCACGTGCAACGAAGTTCGAGGACCTTCGTGGATGATGGAGGCAGGAAAGCGAATCGAATGCGACAAATGCTGAGAATTGCGCAGTGTGATGCATATGATGTGATTATAACAAGTTAAAATTATTCTCGTTTACCGATGCTGTGGAGTGAGAATGTAGATGAAATCCTGGAAATGCTGTTTGTTAATGGCGCCTGTGCAAATGATAGTTATTGATTCTGCACAATGGAGGAATTTCACACAATGGAGAATTTGGATTGGTGCGATTTCTTGTTAGACTCGTAAAAAAATTACGTATTAAGAAGCAATCTGATCTACGTAGGTCCCGGAACGATTGCATGCGCTTTATGATCTGCATGTTGCCGCGTTGGATTTTAATAATTTTATGTCCGGAGGTGGTGGTTGGTGGTTGTATTCTAAAAGTTGTTCGGCATTGATAGAAATTATTCTGACATTATCTTGGACTTTCTTACTTTGACGCTTCACTTCTGCTTTATTTCATTTCAGAGTCCATTTCTCCCCAAGTCTCAGTTCGTTATCGAAATCGGGCTATGGACGATAGTCTTGGATTCGAGATCGTTAAAGCACTCGATTGTAATGATATGGGTGCTGGTAACGGAATACTGACTTCCGTGAAGCAAGAAGAAACCGATGAAGCGATTCTTTCGAATCCAGAAGCGGATCTGGAAGATATACTTCAGCAGTTTGTGAAGAAGACAAGGGTTAGTTTGATGATTATGTAGAGTAGAAATTATATAGACTCTTTCTCTTATATGTCTTTATCTTCTATTATGGACCCATGTGGCACAACGGTCGGAGGCGCCCCGCAACACGCGTAGGAGATCGATCCTCGCGCGCCCGTGGCTCAGCAAGCCTTGCATCCCACCGGGTTCGGCAAACTGGTGCCAGACTTGTCTGGGAGGATAGTAGCGCTGGCTCGATATGTCGGTAGGCCGCCGCGAGTCATTGTAATGGCAGTATATGCATCCAATCAACTCCAAACGATGCTTAATGAAGTCGAATGCATGGCGCATCCGTCAGGGGTTCATCAACGCCAAGAGCTTTATCTTTTTTCCTTTATGTCTTTATCGTATTATCTCCATTTAAAGATCTCTCGTTACTTAATTAAATAATCCCATAGCGTTCTAGCGTGAATATCCAGCTGGTCGATTTCTTAAGAAGGAGCTGGACTACATAGCTGAAACCTATTGTAATAATTATGCGACATTTTACCATTCGACTGTTAACGGTGGAAAGGATAAGGAAGCAATTGCAGTAAGTTTATATGCCTATTTTTTCTTTGTTTTTGATGCAACACTTAAAATGTTTATGCTTTGGGATCTACTCTCTCCCTCTTCCCACGCCCACCCTCAAATGACGGTCTGCTTGAAAATTGCATTACTGTTACCATCTTCTAGCGTGCTGTTCGTTCCCTGATAACTTAAGTAGGGGCTTTAGCTATTTGTTTAAGGTAAGCATTTGTGTCTTTTCGTTTAGACGAAGGAAATTCCCACGAGAGAATGCTCTGGACATTGCATTCGTTCACATTTGCATTAGTTGTAGTATTCAATGAAAAAAAAACAGATCCCAGTGCTTGTCATTTATTGATTTTCTTGACTATTAAGAGTGGAAACATGTATAAATAGTGTATTTTGCCTATATACTTGTGTTATGTCACGGCGTTCAATCGTTGTTCAGTATTGATTACAATTCTTGATCAATAGATCTGTAAAGTGTTCGCTGCGTTGCACTTTGGATCGCACAAAGTCATAAAAATGGGTATTGATTAGTTCTGAATCCTCAGTTTGCACTAGATTGCTTTTAGAAACTTGAATGATTTATCGACTATTTATTTTATAGAAGAAGAAAAGCCTCCTAATGGAGATGGCTGAACACATTTCAACATTGGGTGAAGAGCAGAGGACTCCTGAACAAGTGGAACAAAAAATACGAGATGAATTGAAGCGTGTGAAAAAGTACATGGCAGCAAAGGTGAGTTGTCGTTTTTGGTTTAAACAATGGTAGTTCAAGTTCTGTGTTTCTTTTGTGCTTTTGGCGCATGGATTTCTATCTGTGGACCTACAAATCCGGCAAGAAGGAAACTGGGGTATCCTTCATTGGTAAGCTAGCACGAGGTTGCTATAAGTATTACGATTACAATTGTATCAACCTCATGTTAGTATAAGTTGTTGTTGTTGTTGTCGTCGTTTCCGTTGTTGTTGCTGCTGTTGTTGTTGTTGTTGTTGTTGTTGATATTGTTGTCCCTTAACTCCTTTATTTACTGCCCTTTTTTTTTTCTTCTTAATGGCAAGGTATGTTGTGAAATATAACTCGTATGAAGTGCTGAGATATTTGCAAAACTCCGGACCACAGGTGTATTCAGTGGGGAACGAACACGCGCTGTTGTCCTTACCGGGGAGCAGCGCACTTCACCACTACACCATCCGGGTTCTTCGCTTTGCATGTATCTCAGCTAGTTCTATCGATCTTTTTGCCATCAGCAATCACCCGTCAACGGAATTGATCTGGGGAGCCAATATCGGCATTGAACCCAGTTAAGCTGAGGCCTCGTTATAATCACAATCTTAACTCTTTTATTTACTGCCTTTTTTTTTCTTCTTAATGGCAGGGTATGTGAAATATAACTCGGATGGTGTAGTGGTGAAGTGCGCTGCTCCCCGGTAAGGACAACAGCGCGTGTTCGTTCCCCACTGCATACACCTGTGGTCCGGAGTTTTGCAAATATCTCAGCACTTCNAAAAAAAAAGGCAGTAAATAAAAGAGTTAAGATTGTGATTATAACGAGGCCTCAGCTTAACTGGGTTCAATGCCGATATTGGCTCCCCAGATCAATTCCGTTGACGGGTGATTGCTGATGGCAAAAAGATCGATAGAACTAGCTGAGATACATGCAAAGCGAAGAACCCGGATGGTGTAGTGGTGAAGTGCGCTGCTCCCCGGTAAGGACAACAGCGCGTGTTCGTTCCCCACTGCATACACCTGTGGTCCGGAGTTTTGCAAATATCTCAGCACTTCATACGAGGTATATTTCACAACATACCCTGCCATTGTTGTCCCTGTTGTTGTCGTTGTTGTAGGTGGCCGATGTCTGACGTTTCGGCGATTTTGTGGGAGTGGGTGTCCCACTCGTAACAACAACAACCTCATGTTAGTTTGTCAGTAGAAGAAAGTGCGTTGATTATCTGTGCCGAGGTTAAAGGGAAATTGCCTGTCAAAAATAGAAACTGCATCATAGCCGTCGTTAAAGTATTAGGGGATGACGTAAAAAAGGTCCGTTTATTGTCTTTTCAGAAAAATGGTGGGTCGCTGCCGGGCAAGAGTAAGAGAGAAATTGTATTGTCATCATCGCAACAAATGATTGCCGATATTGTTGAGCGAACGGTTCTGGAGCCGTCGAAACCAAAACCTGTAGAGCAGAATGGTGTAGATGATTCGGTAGTAGCAGTGGACACTTCGTTCATGGAGGTTCCCACTGCTGGTAATTGATTGGCCGAAGGCCATAAAGAAAAGAAATTTCATCTTTTTTCCCTTTTTCGCACCTAAAGTTCGTTATTTAGGTTCTTCATTAGAGGTTAGTCCGCCGGCGTGCGGTCAGAGAAATGCATCGCCGTTGCACTTGCGTAAAAAGAAGCGAAGATTGTCCAGTCTGAGGGAATTTGATGATAGAAGGTGGGTTATTCAATGTTCCCTTTTCTACCGATTTTCTGAATTATGATGTATCACTTCATAACTTTTAAGTTATGGACGTATCCATCAGTGTATATTGTAAGGATACTTATTTTCCATGGAGTAAAATCATTTTTGGGGAATGAAATGCTTACGGTTCCGTTAAATCCCGTGATTTTGGCTTCCACCTCTACTTCAAATCCCATAGATGTTAACTTTTCGACTGGGTATGAGGCATAGAATTCATATTATTGATCGATTTCCATGACATTCGTTGTTACATCCTCGACAGTTATGTTTGGTTTTCGTATAGAAGGAGATCTGGGTTGTGGACTATTTGGTAGATAATTTTGATGATCTGCTTTACTCTGTTTTTATCTCATTGCTTTGATATTGATGACTTGTCTTGTTCATTTGTTGCTACAAAAACATATTGTTATTAAAGTTTAGACAGGAATTCGACTTTGTGAGGGAGAAACGACAAGGTCTTGAGGACGATATGAAGTATGCTAGAGCGAAATTGGAAGCCGTAACAGCTGAACGTGATTTCTGGATGGCGAAGATCGATGTCTTAGATTTGGAGCGACAGTTTTGGATGCGAGAGATAGAGAAGTCGCTTAACGACCATTACTGATAGTTTTTTATTGATTGCTTGAAGTTAACTGTACATTCTGGTGCTAAGTGGAACTGTGACGGTGGTTTCCGGATCTGAAGCGATTTTGAAATTTTAGGGCGTATGTACACGCTCTAATAATAGTACTTGTTTTGCAGATTTCTTTGTGGATTTTATCTCGCTTTTCTGTTTCCCCCTGAAACGCTACGGGTTATTGGAACTTCTTTTTCTAAGTAATAATTGGATTACTCTGTGAGTCGCATTTTTCCTATGTAAATTTACTTGAAGTTTTCAAGTAGGTGACTTTGTAACGTTCGAATTGATACCAACGCGTTGCAAAGCACCTATCGATTCTTTTCCATCTGTGTTTATTTCTAGTCAATGACTCCTGTGCAATTGTAATTTTATGGTAATAAGAACTTTCTAAGCATAGCGGTAAACAGTTGATAGTAAGGTGAAGGATGAAAGAAGTAAGACAATGAACGGATGGCAAGGAAAATTAGCGAGAGGACTAGGTGAACCTCAATATGTTATAGTTTGGACCTACGATGAGTATAGTGAAATATCGACACCTTGGGTTATCCAGGTGCTTCTTCCACGTACCATAAAAATAGCGATGGCTTGACCATTCTATACAGGCTACTAACCTCATTAGGTAACTTTTTATTTATTGCTTATTCTTTTTCATGGCAGGGTATGGTGTGAAATGAAACCACAATGATGCTGAGATAACTCGAAAGACCGACTTTCTATGAACCTCGGCATAGATAGTTGATATATTTATTTATGTGATCTTATAAACTGATCTTCTTAAGCTGATGCGAGGTTGGTACACGTCTTCGCTGTCGTTGTCGTTGTCGTTGTTTTTGATGTTATTGAACGATGGCTGACGTCTCAGCGACTTCGCCTTCCTCAGAGCCTGGACGTACTTTATGTTAGAATACTTTTTATTATTCGGTGGAAAAGAAGGTTAAAGTATTAATGAAGATCAAACTTTCAAATAGACGCCATATTGAACAGAAAGGCCACTCACCGTGATGTTACGTGCGGGACTGGCCCACACGTAGTTCACGCGAGCAAGACACGCCCCGGGGTCAAAATATCATTTTGAAATAGGGCGCCAGGTCACGCGTGATAGTGAGGCATTCGTCCTTCCGGTTCATCTTTGGATTTTTGAAATTTATCCAAAACGCCTCAAGAGTTTTGCGCGTTGATGTTTTTGATTCCTGCGCTAGGATCCGCACATTCACTTCAAAATCATCGCCGTTGTGCTTTTGTGCCCTATGCGTACCTAGAGCGGTGTTTAAACGGATTTTAGCTTTTCCATCTAGATGTTCTTTTATGCGGACACAAAGTGGTCTACCCGTTTCTCCGATATATTCCTCGCCGCATGCATAATGGAGTCATTCGATGTTAGTTCACTTCATACCAACGTGTCCAATGACTCCGCAATGCAAGCCATTCTCGAGTTGCTCGGAGAGCATGAAAGGAAAATAAAAATGCACGGCTTGTCGATTGCGCAACTAATGACCCTCTTAAAACAGTGTCTTAGTTGTTCAATCTTTAGGTGGTCTGGAAAATATTTTGCACAAATTAGAGGGTTGGCCATGGAACAACGTTTAGCGCCGAGCTTTGCCGTCGCTTCCATGTCTAAGGTGGAAGCTCCAGTTCTCAATCGTGGACCCTTACTCTCGTTATGTAGACGACTACTTCATCGTCTGTTCCACACAAGAACAGATGGATGAGTGCTTTGAATTATTAAACCGACAGTCAGAGTATATAAAATTTACACGAGAAAAACCTACCGAGAACTGGCTTCCATTCTTAAACATCCAAATAAAGCTCTCAGTAAGTGGCTATGTAACAAAATGGTATCGCAAGCCAAGTAGTAAAAACATTCTAGTTCACTGCCTCTCTTCTCATCCTTCACACATGAAAAAAGCACTTATTAAAAATATGTATCGTACGGCTAAAAATGTGTGTACAGGAGAAGAGGAAAGGAAGGAACCGCGAAACCTGGCACGAAAAATTGCCATTTCCAATGGCTACGAAGTAGAAGAAACTCGTGTTAGAGGAAAACATTGGGTAGCTTCCCAAAATAATATTTCAGACGAAAGAAGGATCCCCTTTAAGCTGCCCTTCATATCAAATGAAGTAAGTCACGCCATTAAAAAGTGCTTAAGAAAAAGTGGTCTTGAAAATTATGTAACGGTTATTGACATCCCACCCAATACCCTACGCCGCCAGTTAGTTCGAAACCGTCTCTATGATCGTTTGTGCAGCTCAGAAAACTGTATGATCTGTGCCAACGGGAGAGACGGGGATTGCGCAATTGACAAGCCGTGCATTTTTACTTTCCNTGCCCTTCATATCAAATGAAGTAAGTCACGCCATTAAAAAGTGCTTAAGAAAAAGTGGTCTTGAAAATTATGTAACGGTTATTGACATCCCACCCAATACCCTACGCCGCCAGTTAGTTCGAAACCGTCTCTATGATCGTTTGTGCAGCTCAGAAAACTGTATGATCTGTGCCAACGGGAGAGACGGGGATTGCGCAATTGACAAGCCGTGCATTTTTACTTTCCTTTCATGCTCTCCGAGCAACTCGAGAATGGCTTGCATTGCGGAGTCATTGGACACGTTGGTATGAAGTGAACTAACATCGAATGACTCCATTATGCATGCGGCGAGGAATATATCGGAGAAACGGGTAGACCACTTTGTGTCCGCATAAAAGAACATCTAGATGGAAAAGCTAAAATCCGTTTAAACACCGCTCTAGGTACGCATAGGGCACAAAAGCACAACGGCGATGATTTTGAAGTGAATGTGCGGATCCTAGCGCAGGAATCAAAAACATCAACGCGCAAAACTCTTGAGGCGTTTTGGATAAATTTCAAAAATCCAAAGATGAACCGGAAGGACGAATGCCTCACTCACGCGTGAGCTGGCGCCCTATTTCAAAATGATATTTTGACCCCGAGGCGTGTCCTGCTCGCGACTCCACGTGAACTACGTGTGGGCCAGTCCCTCACGTAACATCACGGTGAGTGGCCTTTCCGTTCAATATGGCGTCTATTTGAAAGTTTGATCTTCATTAATACTTTAACCTTCTTTTCCACCGAATAATAAAAAGTATTCTAACATAAAGTACGTCCTGGCTCTGAGGAAGGCGAAGTCGTTGAAACGTCAGCCATCGATCAATAACATCAAAAACAATGACAACGACAACGAAGATCTGTACCAACCTCGCGTCAGCTTAAGAAGATCAGTTTATATGATGCTGAGATTTTTGCAAAACTCGGGAGCATAAGTGTCTATGGTGGGGATTGAACCCGTTATCACTGTTTCCGTATGCGATCCCAACGCCTCTGGCCCATTAAGCCTTCCATTCATCCGGTGTCGCCAAATTGGTACCAGACTTATCTGGGAGGATAGCAGAACTGGTTCGTTACATAACCTCGAGTGGGCCACTTCGAGTCATTGTAAAAGCTAGATATGCATGCATTCACCTCAGAACGATACTTAATGAAGTCGAATGCATGACGCATCCGTCAGGGATTAATCATCGCCGAGAGTTTTATCCTTTATTTTTTTATACGGCATCTGAACTAAGTGTTCCCAATTCCGTTGGCTTTTACGTTTCTATTCTTAATACACAAATATTTCTGAACTCTTGCCGAATCTCCCACTATAGTAATCCTCATTTCATTTCTCATCTCGGATCTTGGACTGAGAAGGATAAAACGCAGATCAAAGGCATGAAAGAAATTGCTTGCTGTGAAATGCACAAAACACGTCGAGTTAGCGGAATAGTTTGTTCTGAGGTGGTGGATTTAACCAAGACAAATCGATGTATAACTAGACGAGTTTGAAATTCTTCTGAGGAAAATCGTCACTTATACAAAGGTGCACTGACAACTTGGTTGTGCTAAGCGGAGCGTCTGTGCAACTATACACTGGAAAATGCATACAAGGGTGAAAGAGACTCTAAGAAAAAAGGCTGTGTAGGCCCAAAATCATACGTAGATGAACATCATAAATTCTGCTTACAAGAAATCCTTGTGTGTGGAAACCACTTGGCAAAGAACATTACGAAGGGACTTGTAGTTCCATCCGATGCCTTTTTTTTCACTTACTTGAATACTTGAATGGCCCGTCTTCACTAGTTTTGCGGGCACTAGCGTAATTTTCATTTTAATTCGGAGTTTCTCTGGTTTAACCACTGTGGTTCCATGGAGTCCCGAGGTTAGCCTAGCTAATGTCTGCCCCAGGTCTTCACCACCACAGACAGTCGGCGCCATTGTGGATCAGAGGGAGCTTTGCCACTATGTGACTCGCTACTAGGATGGTGGTGGATCCTGGTATTGGTTTACTCCTGGCTGGGCGCCCTGATGGAAACGCTGGACTCGTTCTCAGCTTGGGAGGTCCCGCTGGGAGGAAGAATCCCCTTGCTGTACATCACCTCCCGACACCCAGGAACACATCCGAGCCACGGTGAGGTGGTAAACCGTTAAGAGGAAAGCGTTCTTACTAACCAAAACGAATTGGGTCGATAATTGCCTTTGTCGCGTCGTTGAGGTTTTTCCGATCATAAACGGGAAAGATCGCGAATTTTTCGTTTGAATTCTTTATACCTTACTCATTAACTGGTAAATAAAACACCATAAATGAAATGCAAAATGTTGATGTAAGTTTACATCAAAAATGATGTAGGCAACTTCAAGTAGTGGGAGTCGTTGACAGCTCTCAACCTGATCGACCACTAGAAGCTGTTTGAGCAAAAGTACAAGCTAACGACGGGCTTGGTGGGCGGAAAGAAGAATAGCATTAAGAAGAGCTAGTTTCGTTACTACTTGATAGAGCTGAAGATAAAACTCTCGGTTTTGATCAATCCCGCAGGGATGCGCCATGCATTCCACCTCATTAAGCATCGTTGGAAGTGATTGAATTCATATCTGGCCTTTACAATGACTCGTGGTGGCCTACTGATGTATCAACCAGAGCTGCTATCAACCCAG